TTTGTTTGTTAAATGAAATAAAAACTTTAATTTTTAATTAGTTAATTTTTGCATGAAATAATTAAAGAATAAAAATGGAAAATTATAAATTTATTGAAAAGATTGGAAGAGGAACACATGGCACAGCATATCTATTAAAATCTTATCTAGATAATAAGTTAGTCGTATGCAAATCAATTTCATCAAAATATGCAAAACATGCAAACAGAGAAATTAATATTCTTAAACGATGTAAACATAAAAGAGTAATTAGAATGATAGATTTTATCAAAGTTTCAGATAGCATGTATATCATACTAGAATATGCTAATTGTGGAACTTTAGATTCAATGATTAAATATTATGTAAAATCTGCAAAGAAACCACCCACTGGACTTGTATGGTCTGCAATATCGCAAATTTCTGATGCTTTATATTATTTACATTCAAATTCAATAATCCACAGAGATATTAAACCAGCAAACATACTAATTTGTAAAACTACGTATGAGAAAACAGATTACTTAGAATTCAAACTATGTGACTTTAGTCTTAGTACTGAGACAAAGGATAAAATTGAAAACAGATTGATAGTTGGGACACCATATTACATGGCACCAGAAATAATAGAAAAAAAACATATGATCACAAAATAGACATATGGAGTCTTGGTGTAATACTTTATGAGTTAATAAATCTCGAAAGACCATTTTCTGCTGAGAATAGAGAAAAGCTTTATGCAAAAATTGTTAGAAGTAAAATAGACCAAACCAAAATAAACACATCTGATCCAGATCTCAACCAGCTTATTAAACAATGCTTTCTTGATAGTGATAAAAGAATAAGTTCATTAGAATTGGCACGTAATAACAAAATAAGGCTTCATCTTACTACTATCGAATTAAAACAAAGAGAAATTAGAATAAAAGAATTAGAAGAGAAGATCAGATTGTTAGAAAAATAAACTAATTTATATTTTAAATTAAACTTCTTCTTTAATCTCTAAAATAAACTCTAATAACTTATTAACATCATAATTATTATCTAATAAATCATACATTGTATCTATTGCTTCTTTACTGAATGATAATCCTAATTCATTTTGTATTTCTGTGATTATTTTACGATCATTTTTATCAAGCATGGGTTTTATAATCAAGAAATTTTAATCAACTAATTTAATTAAAGTTTTCTATTATTTAAGAATTTAGAAAAATGACTGGATGTTTGACTAGTTGAATTATTTGGTGAAGGATTATTAGTTCCATTTGTATTATTAACTGAGTTACCAAATACACTAGTATTAAATAAATTCTTAGCATCAATTGAACCAGAATTGAAGATGTTAGTATTTACATTATTCATAGGTTGTGGATTTCCAAATATGTTTTGAGTATTAACAGGTGGTTCAATAGGTTTAGATACTTCAGGTTTAGGAATAATTGAATCAAAGGGTTTACTCTCTGATGAAATAGTCTTATCGTCTTTTACATTTTTAGGTTCAATTTCAACATTACTAGTGTCTGGTTTAATTCTCATTTCATTACTTAAAACCTTATTATCATCAACACTAATCTCAATGTTTTTTAAACCATCAATCAAAATATCTAAATCTTTATTTTTAGTTTCTGTTAAATTCATTGCTAACAATGGCTTTATAAATGATGAAATATTATTAGGTCGATTTCCGCTTATTACCTTATCAAAATAATCAATGTTTGTTTTAATGTCACTTTCATCAACACTCAATAACGTCTCTAAATTAACAATCATGTTTAATATACTTTCATTATATTCCCTAATTGGATCTAATAAAATTTGTGTGTAAAGTTTTGATATATCTATCTTAGACTCTTTAAATTGAATAGCGTTGGGTATTTCTACATCATTATGAGATATACTTTCATATGTATTAAGTTTTTGAAGTTCATCAATCATATTATTTAACTCAGGTTCTTTGTATTTACTCTTAAATGAATTTATAAGACTGTCATTCTTAATTTCCTTTTGTGATACCTTTGATAAACTATCATTTTTAATAAGTGAATCATTTTTAATTTTACTAAATAAATCATTACTAGTTGATTTAGTTAACAAATCTTCTTTTTTATTATTAGAACTTAAGAAATTACTAATATCAGGTGTTTCATTCTTTTTTTCTTCTTTAAGCATATTTTTATCTAAATCTTTTTTAATATTTGATTGAACATTTACTTTATCATTATTTAGATCAGTATTTCCCTCTTTTAAAGTAGATTTACTTAAATATTTTGTGAGATTATCTATTTTAAAATCTTCATTTTGGGTAAAAGTATCTCCTAATAAATCTTTAAAATCTTCTTCTTCAATTATACTTTTTTTATCATCAGGAATTTCTTTTTCTATAAGATTTTGCTTTAAAGCACTAATTTCAGAATAATCATCTAAAATATTACTTATTTCCTCAGTACTCAGTCCAACATCAATAATTTCTTTAACATTATTATCTCCTTCTAATAACTTATCATTTATTTTAATATAAAAACTCACTAACTTTTCTTTATCTTTAATTAATATTAAATTATTACTAAATTTAATGTCCTTAGCAAATATTTCTTCAAGATCATCACTAAATCTTAAAGTTAATTCATCACTTTCTTCAACATTCAATTGTTTCCCATTTACAATATAAATAAACACTCCTGATTTATCATTACCAATTATATAAATTTCATTAAAACTTGTATAAAAGTAATTAGCTCCTTCTTCATAGATAAAATTATCAAATGAGCCAACATCTTTGATCGTTAAATTATCTTTATTAATTTTAAGCACATCATCTACAACAAATACTTCATCAGTAGGAATAAACTGGTTATCTTCAAGCCTGTAAACTTCTTCATTACTTTCATATACAACTTTTAAAAGTCCTTCATTATAATAACACTTTCTACAATTCAACGCAAGTCTTAAAATCTTATCTTTATCATCTATATAAATATAATTACCACAAATAACTGTATTTTTACTAGAGAAAGTGTAATCACAATAAAATATATCATTGTATTGTTCTACTGAAATGCCTTCTAATAATAATTCTTCTTTTTCTTGAAAAGCTAAAGTGTCTATCTTTTTATTTAAATTCATAAATTTAGGGCTAAACTTTTTAATAAAATCAAACTAAATTTATTTAATTCTAATAAAATCCAAATAATCGTTATCATCTTCATTATTAGAAGTGCTATCATTAAACGCTCTATATAATTTTGTATAGAAATCTTCAGGTGGTTTACTAATTATATTTTTATCAGATTTACTTTTGGTAGTTTTAGGGGCTGTTGTTACTTTTCTCTTAACAATAGTTTTTGATTTCTTCAAGTTATTCTTTTTAGTATTCTTGGTCTGTAATTTCTTCATAAAATTTTGTTTATTTGTTTTAAT